TTGCCTTGCTGTAAGTGCTATTCAAAAAAACTTCAGCCCGTTTTCATTCCCCTGTAGTGTATTGTATGTTAAAGTAGGATGGCTGCGTGTAAGTGGGCAGCTTGATACACGTACAGTGAAAACTCTGATTGCAAGTGCTTCACAAATGTAGCACACACTTATGTAAACAAGAACCGCTGCGAGTTGTACGAATGCGCCTTTTTTTTATGTCGGACGTCAAGCGATCGCTAATTACCCGATTGTTCTTTTCTCGCTGCAACACGTGTGCGATTGTCTCCCCTACCGGCATGCCAACATCCGCTTCACTGTGGTGTGTTGTTACCACGTGTAGTCCTTACAGTAATAACCCTTCTTCATCTCCCCCCAGAGGCGTAGCGACCCTTCCCGGCGATACTTTCGATTTGCACCCCCCCCCCTCAAACTTTCGATTTGCACCCCCATTTTGGCGCCCCCTAAGGTCGGCGCCCGGGGACATATGTCCCTCCCCACCCCCTTACTTACCATCAGTGGTGTAGCCAGGATCGTCTCAAGGGGGGGGGGGGGGGTTCCAATTTTTACCCGGGGACAAACTTTCGATTTGCACCCCCCCCCTCAAACTTTCGATTTGCACCCCCCCCCCTCAAACTTTCGATTTGACCCCCCCCCCTCAAACTTTCGATTTGCACCCACCCCCTCCCCCCTCAAACTTTCGATTTGCACCCCCCCTCATACTTTTTCTATATACCGAGGGGTCTATGGGGGGGGGTTATGACCCCCCCTAACCCCCCTGCCTACGCCACTGCTTACCATAACAATGTTCAAATAATGTAACGTTTTACTCTTTGGCACGTAAATTGACAGGTCACGTTCCCCCCCTTTCACCTCCATATTTGTTTCGCCATCAATCAGACGTTGTTGTGGTTTCAATTTTTTAATCTTTGTTTAAATAGGAAGCCTGACACTTAAAAAAAACATAACGTAATGGCTTTATAAAGCCAGCAGGTGCGGTTTCCATTATCCCCTTCTATTATCTAGCCCGTAACAAAGCGATTGTCTGGCCATACATCCTAACAAAAGACTTAGCTGAAACTGAAAGCGTGGAGAAGTTGATATACGAGGAACCACTTGGATGCTTTGTGTGACAATGGGCACGCTGATTACCCCTATGTTTGATGTCAATTACAGCTACACCATCAATGTGCTATTTACCTGAACGACTTGTATGCAGATATATGCTAATTTGGGTACTGGTGGTTGTGGCGAAATGGGGCTATCAACATTGGGTACCCGTATATAACGAAAGAAGGGTCTTATAACCACAGAGAAGGCTGTTGTAAATACAGATAACTGTGTAACACCAGATATACGTGAGATATAAGGTAGGCTTAGGACGTTTTCAGCGTGTACTTGTGCAGCTCTCAAACCATTTGTAAGTTGACTTTTACGTTAGACCAGTGGTTCTTAACCTGGGTTCGATCAAATCCCAGGGTTTCGGTGAGTAGAATCTCAAGGATACACCCGACTCATATGATTCACGTAAGGATTTTGTCACAACTATTAGAAAACGTTCAGTGAATGTGCATATGAAACTGGTGCGGTTCGGTACCACACAAAAATGTTGAGAAAGACTACTTTTGATTAATTGTAAAAATATTTCAGCTTAGATATTTATCGAATTTTATTTTTACTATGTTTCGCTGCTGTCTTTTTCATCATTCCTAGATCTAATTGTAATGTTGGACGAAATTTCCTCCAACACAGTTAAGTAGTAAAAGTAAGTGTCAACTTGTAATGCGCCATATAGGCTTTTGACTCCAACTTCAGCCACCTTTCTATCTGGATTTTCTCTCATAGCCTTTGTCCACCCACGAGCAGACAACAAGGCAGCAGTTGTTTGATTTTGTAGTTTGTAGCCATCAATTTTATCATTTAGAGAACATCAGCATTTATTTACACGTGACCCTACCATTCCCACGTGTATCCGCGAGTTGCCAACCTCCGCGTTAAGTTTGTCGGTTCTGTGTAGTCCTCTTGTGTACCTGTTGTGTGGCTTGTATTTTCACCTGTGTTCCTCTCATCTTTACCGGGTTGATATTTATGCTGCACGTATCATTTCATACATCACTTGTTACACGTGCACCGCTCACCTTTGATCTACACCTAATCTAAACATCTAGGGCTAGTTTATCTTTAATGCATCAAGATTTAATATTGTTTATATAGCAAGGATTCTCCCTCTATGGGGGTATAGCTATAACAGTCAATATAGGAGATCGGCTTATTATGGTTGACAGTGGGGCTTGCATTGTTGAGGCAGTTTATTATTGACGTTAGTGACTGAGTTGTTATAGCCGTCCAGAAGTTATTACTGACATAGGGCCTGCGTTGTTTTGGCCGTCCAGATTTTATTATTGACAGTAGTGCTTGCCTTACTTTGGCCGTCAAGAGTATATTATTGACAGTAGTGCTTGCCTTGTTTTGGCCGTCCAGAGTTTAATATTGACAGTAGTGCTTGCCTTATTTCAGCCGTCCATGACAATGAAGTTCGTGTTTTACGTGTCTTTAAAAAAAAATGACCGCGTTATGTGTATAAAAATGTCCGTGACGTTTGATGTGCTGAGCCTAATGTCCCATTTAACCTTCGGGAATTCCAAGTAAAAGTTAGGCCACGGCCCGGGAACAAAAGAACGTATTCACTAGATGGGCTTATCAAGTGCTGTCTTTTGACCCACCGGCACAGCGCTATCTCTCAACTCAAGATAACCATTGTAGACATTCCTAACACCGGATGAAATTTATCGATTTCAAGTAATATAGTTATTCTAACACCAGAATGTTCTTATGTGTATAACAATCGCGGTAGGAATTGCTGGAATGAAGATTTTATCCAAGAGATTATAAATTCTAGACGCCAAAAAAAAAAAAAAAAACACTTCTGAATAAAAGTTAAAAAAAAAAAGGCAGTTGAATAAAAAAAAAACAAGATAAAGGGGAAATCCAGTAATAAAACTACCCAACGTAAAGACAAGAGAAAATTGTAAAACGGTGCATGTTTCCAATCTGCGTTTAACCCTACCTCGTTGTTCATTCACCTTTCAACTATTTTTTTTCCCCATTAGACCTGTCAAATGGGCAGAAACCTTCCTGTTTTATGTCACTGTATGGTCCCTGGCTGCTCCACTCTGACGCCGGCTTTGTTGCTACTTGGCTGTGGAGATTTCTGCTGTTTTTTTTTCTCTCTATTCCAGGATCAGATGTAATCCTTTGTGTGTGTATTTTTTTAGCGATTTAAACATTTTCCGGTCATAGGATCCGAAACTTGAAATGTTGACAACTTGTTTGATGCAGGGTCCACCTCTCTTGTGATTTTTTTAAAAATTGTATGATATCATAATAGTAAACTTGGAAGTGAGGATTGAAACACACTCCAGGCGAAGCTAGTGTCCGAGCCTCGTGTCAGTGGACGTAATCTATCACTGGACTGTTGCTCGCAGCGGTGACCAGAAAGATGCGCAAATGAAAAAAATGGACAGCGGAAAACTGCGCACAAAAGTGTGCGCAAGGGAATTTATTTTCTCTAACTCGATCAGTTATATATAGACGTTAGCAAAGAATGACTACAGGAACATTGTCGCATAATAAAACATTTTCCACGAAGTGTGACAAGATTAAAGTGTATTAGCATAGATTGTATTTCCTCATTTTTTGTTTTGTTTGCGCATTTCTCAGGATTAGCACCGATTGTTATGGTATAATACACATTGCCTATACAACAGAAACAAGTTACATTATTTTAATGTATTCACAGACATGCATTGCGAATATACTTTTTAAGGCTGCCTCGGAACGTAAAAACCTAGTTCCGGAAGTATGTTTACATCCTACTCCCTCCCTCTATATTAGGGGTCTCCAAACTACGGCCCGCGGGCCGGATGCGGCCCGCGAGGTCCTCTCATCCGGCCCGCGGAGATCTTTTTGTTCACTGAAAAAAATGTTTTTAGAAGTGGCTGAGGAACTTTGTTCAGAAAATTCAAAACAATTTAAATATGAGCTTTGGGTGCAAATACCACTGCCCTCCGTGTTGCAGACATTATGACTCAAATAGCGAAAACAAGTTTCACAATGTTTCAATTGCAATGGATGAGTCGCAAGACAGTTGTTCCATGTTTTTGGAACAAGTACAGGGCAACAACTTGACGAACTTTCACACTTTCAGCAGTGCATTGTCTTCATGGTTGAAGCAACAGCTGAGATGTCCACATTATTTGCATGCGAGATCACAAAAGACCTCCAGATGCAGTTTCAGTAGCGGTTTTCTGACTAGGATTCAAAGGCAGATGAAGTGAGACTGTTTCAAAACCCTTTCGAAGCAAATGTAACCAGTTGCCCAGATGAACTGCAGATGGAGGTCATTGAATTGCATGCAAATGACTTCCTTAGAGACAAGTTCAAAAAATAGCGGGTGGGTTTTTGTGCTTGCCCAAAGAGAACAAACTTGGACCTCGAGTGTGTTGTCGGCCCCCGACAGTGTTTCTTTCAGACTTTTTCTCCTGGAGGGGGGGGGGGGATTTTAAAATGTGTATATATTTCCATATAAATTATATTTCGTTGGGGAGGGGGGCACGGGGGACACCGCCACCCCAAAGAGATGCATGGAAGAAACTCTGGCCCCCGAACTAATATTTGATAGTTAATGCGGCCCTCGGACTGAAAAGTTTGGAGACCCCTGCTGAGTCTATATGACCCACTTGAATATGCTCATTTTCTTAAATATATGTGTATGCGCTGTATTCCTTAAATGTCCTCTATTTCCCAGATGTATATATGCTTATTCCCCAGATATTTGATATAGCTGTGCTCTTTTTCCCAGTTATTTGATACATCTTTACTGTATTCCACAGTTATTTGATATGTGTGCTACATTCCCCAGATATGTGATTTATGTGCTGTGTTCCCCAGATATCTGATCTATCTGTGCTGTAGTCCCCAGATATTTCATCTCTCTGTTCTGTATTCCCCAGAGCGCCCATGACAACGTCCAGTCGAATACCGTGTCCAGCGAGCGAGCCAGGATGTAGCGGCTGTTGGATTAAACCTCTAGAGACACTTACCTAAATCATGTGTTCCCTTTCACTGTTGGATTAAACCTGAACAGACACTTACCTAAACCATGTGTTCCCTTTCACTGTTGGATTAAACCTGAACAGACACTTACCTAAATCATGTGTTCCCTTTCACTGACGGAACTAGCGTGGAGACTCTGTCCATGACTGGGGAGAAACCTGTGGACGGAGTTGCCAGGATGGATAAAGATCTAAATGGTAAGTCATCGTTTGGCCCGCACCACTCACTGCTTGAGACACACGCAACTACAATTTTAAAAAATTGTGGTCAAATAAAGGTCACGTGGTTTATTTGTTTGTCCAGTTCGGGGGAGAAATAAACTCATGTATCACCTTAAGTTTGCACATGCATGTCCATCGTATTGTAGGACAAACTTACCTGTCTTGTATAACAAAAAAAAAAGTGTAAGTTTTCCATCGTCACATATTAACTCACTATGGAATTGTACCGTTCCTAACTGTACACTACCCTTTCATCTAGCTTCCGGCATTAGTTGATAAAATCATTTTCTAAAAATTGGCATTTGTTTTGTAAAGCATAAATCTGAAAAAAAAAAGTATAAGATTAGTGTTGTCAGTAGCGAGTGTATGCCCAATGCTATGGATAAGTTGTGTCAAATTTCTTACATAAACATCGGGATGACGTACAGAAATCTGGAAAAAGCAACACAAAGAATCATGACGTGACAAGTGACTAATACAAAAGTAATGATGTCAAAATGGCGTCATTACTTTTCCGACGTCATGTTTCTTGTTTTCGCGGTTTACACAAAAACTTGGGCTATCATATAGGTTACCGGATTTTATATTAATATTTTACACAGTGTCAGGTTGCTGTCTATTTCTCCGAATTATAGGTATCGTCTACTTAAATAAAATTAATCGGTAGCTGCGCTAGCGTTATGCTGTGGAGGTTGGAAGGGCTAATCCATGTGACAACAGTAATGCTTTTAACACCTTGAATCAAATAATAACAGTAGCGTTGCAGTATGTGCTGCTACACAGTGTAACTGAGCTCATTATTTGACTGTAAAAACACGCACACCCCTGACCAGGTCCTCGACAAGCAGGACATGACTGACCAACGCTTTGTGTCCTGCGCCCACTTGCACGCGACCTACATTCTGGGCTATCTGATCAGTCTTCTGCTTACATTAGACGCTACTTTAAATTTTAAATCAGAGGTCAAACAAAGTTGACGCTACTTTATGCCAGATAAATATCTATCGAGCGTCTAAATACTCTACAGTGGCTGGTGGGGAAATAAAATGATTGACACGAGTTGCTTAATTCAATTAGTTGGCTTAAGTGCCCTTGGCTGTAACAATAACGGACAACTCTGTTCATCCACGAGGTCATTAAATGAGTCGACTGCGCTCATAAAATAAAATTGATAATACACTTCATCAATAAATTAAACAACTCACTCTTCCTATTCTCTGCTTTCTAGCAGTTTTGATTTAGCATGTGTAGGATAACTTAGGAAAGGTTTCAGAAATTCTGGTCACGTGATACACAACACGGAAGTAAATGTGACGGTTATGACTAGCAAAAGTGCATGTTGTTATATTATGTCGTGTTTGTTGTTTCGTTGCTTAAATATTCTGATATGCAATGGCTTGTTTAAACTAGAATAAAGCAATCGCTTATATCTTACAGCTGGATAATTTTACGCGGTGCGGGGGTTAATAGTTGCAAAACAAAAGGGGTTAATAGTTACAAAACATCTAAACGGTTTCCAAGCAAGCGCGTTTTCTTCATATAACTGTTCCCTCGCCTTATGAAGTACGGAGAATACACTTTGCCAGCGGTCTGCACTTATTCTTTTCACTTCAGGCTTCGTCATTCTTCTGCTTCCGCCTCCTTTTCGACTGATTTTACCCAACTCAATTACTAGTTTTTTTTTTCACTCTACCATTGATGTTTAAATTCAAAGCTTGTCTAGTGTTGTAAAGGTTATGTTTAGTAGTCTTTAAGTAAATAAAAAAATAGCACGCTAACCAAGTATAGTTTGAAAGCACAACTTGTCTTTAGTGCGCCTATGTGTCTCGTATTTTTTCTATGGACGGATCCTGTATATCCGGCCGTGGTACGTCCGGTACTAAGTGTGTAGAGTGCACATATGTAGGTGTCAGACTTGGCCTTTCTAATCGTCTATTTTTAGAACACTTTTCCATTCAACCGCGAAGCTTAAGCTTCATCTACACCCCAATTCCCCATCTAATTACTATGTACTCTGTCGCCGTTGTTTACGATGAAAAATATGCACAGATGTCAAGATCTCTTGATTTTCTCTTAACACAGTTTCCCCAATATTGATCTGGCCATTGTATTAGCATAGAAATAGATGTGGCCAAGTTGTTTATTGTGTGCGTCACCTAAGCGTTCTTTACTTTCGGGTTAAGTCCGTGTAGTATGACAGTATGGCGCCAATAGTTTAATGTCCAGTAGTAAGTCTGTCGTACTTTGCAGTGCTGACTACTTGGTTGTTGAGGTATTAACATTTGGGGTATCTGCCGTGGTGATAAATGTCTAAAGTGCAGGGGTATTACTATTATATTGATTTTTCATATGCGGTACAAATGGTAATACTATCACACACTCAGGGGGTGCTACGATTAAGTGATTTGCAGGGGGTGCTGCTATTATGAGGTGCGCCATTGAAAAGTCCACAAAACACCCCCTACCATTTCACCGAGTTACGCCACACACTCAAGTACTTGAGCTCTCTCGCCAAGTTCAGCTTGTGCTTTGATTAGTAACTTTCTTTAGAAATGCCGTGAAAAAGAATTTTTAATGAAGAAGTGCTGGTTCATGTTGTAAAGTCCCTGGTACTGGTTCAATACGTTTTTAGGTACCCACGCAGTCATCGGTGTGGAAGACTGGTTGTTAATCGATTCATAACAAGCGGTTCTGCTATGGTTTACACACTGCGTCATGGTTCCCTTTTACCACGACGTATTAGGTAGAGGGCTGTTTGACGCTAGAACAGATACGAAAAGGATTAATCCAAATATTCAAGCGCTCTTTGATTTAGTTTCCTCTGATATTTTGAGCAACCCGGGTGGCCACTTACAAATTCAGCCCCTTTATTTAGCTTATAAAGACACAAAGACATAATCTCTCTTGTCGCATGACTTAGTTTCGTTTTTGACAAACCCAGTGTTGCTTATTATAAATATAATATCATTCAAAACTTGCATTCAGACATTCAAGTTGACATGTGATATTAGGTCATATCTTTTTTAAAAAACTCTACAACAATAACGCCGTGTTCCCTTTTTCTCTCTGTCGGCTCTATTTTAGCACTGATGTGATAGTTCCTTTTTTTTTTGGTGACATAGTAAATACAACTTTTTGTCATTCTAACTTTAAAATTCACATCACTTGATTAAAATTCGCATCAGTTGATTAACATTCGCATCAGATTTTTTTTAAAGAAGGCTGTTTATTTATTATTTTCGTGTTAGTTGTGTTGCAGTTAATCCTATCGGAATAGTTGTTTGTAACGAATTAATCTCTCAACAAAAATCCATATCAACTACCAGATTATATTAAAGATCTCACAAGTAAAAAAAAAAATTATGCAAACGGTTAAAGATTGCAGGATTTATAAATATCCCCTTCCTGAAATACTACAAATACAAGAATTCTTATATCACCTTAAGGGCTAATCTAAATGATTGAATTTTAAAAATATACTTGACTCGTGTGATAAGAGGGTGTGCAAACAAACCTTAAAGATTAAATCATCGTAACGGGGACAGCATTTTATTTAGTCTCGGTCGGTTCTTCCTCATCTTCCCTTCCTATCCTCTATCTTCCCTTCCTATCTTTTATCCTCCCTTCCTATCCTCTATCTTCATCTATTCGTATCCCCCCCCCCCCCCGTTACACCCCCTCCCCCAGTAATCAGAGATCTTGTTCTGCATCCTGCGCTTCGAACCTCGGCCCATTTTTTCCCTCCACCAAAAATAAATGTTTCTCTTAGACATGTGTTGCCCCGCTTCTTCTGTAGGTCACTGCGGATTAAAAAGTCGGATTTTTTTTTTCGAGGTCGCCGGATTCATCGATAGAGAAAATGAATCGGCTTCGATCAGGGTTGTATTCTTTTGTTGCGCGCTCGTACACAAATCCGACTTGATTTAGTTCTCAAATATCGACCCTCCTCTTGATGACTAGTTGCTGTGTATTACTCTTGAGATAAATAAAGTGTTACGCTTCGTCTATCAGTATCAGCAAAAGTCCAGTGACACAGCAAAATTTGAATGAGTGGAGATTTGTGTCTCCATAAAGGCCGGGGTGGGCCGTCTTACAGTTGTTGTTTACGGATGGATACCCTGACAGGGGCGACAACCGAGTGTCGTGACAGATTTTTCAGTTATCTGCTTAGAGCTTGTAAAAGTGCAGCTTATATAATTTGACGGGTGTAACCGACAAGTATAAGCCCCCTTCGCATCCAATGATACATTTCCCGACATGTTTTCTATGGCTGGTTTGTGCAAGAAGCCCAGTGTTTAAAATGTTACACATCTCGATACTCAGCAGGATGGATTTGATTCTATTTTACATAACCAGTCACTGGGCGGGACGGGTTGTACGGTAGATATAGACCCTAAGCTTTGGCGGAACCAAGTAGCGTTGGATAGAAGCCTTACCGTAACTAGAGTCTAGTAAGAAATATTTTCTTTGTTAAAGGAAGCTCCAGAACAAACGGCTTTTCATTGCTAGACCTGTTTTTTTTTCCCCTCTGTTTTTCCCACATTTACCTCAGTGGAGTTGAACCCAGAGAGTTAATAGACATCTCTGGAGTGGAAACAGTCTAAACAGCGCTTGTCCAAACCACATGCGACTTGCCTTTGATGATCTTTTAAAAAAACCAAACGTGCATCGCACTCTGGTACCAGCGGTGCGCACATCCACCAGCAGTGCGCACCAGGGCAGCACTTAAAAAGGTTCAAAAGACGCGGAGCAGCAGAAGAATTAAAGGCTTGTTTTGATTTACCGTGGTTTAATGTCGAGTTAGCTAAGTTTCCATCTTCTAATCTGATTTATTTGACATTCTACTGATAGAGCCAAACTTTCCCCGACACGACGCTAGGCTAAACACCGCGCCATACATCAACCATTTCTACTGGGTTAAATCGCCTATGTACCGAAATCGTTACAGCTGAACAGCTTTGAATAGACCATCGTAC